CCTTGCTTCTCTTGCAGTCGACGGCGCTTAAGGGGCTGTTGGTCATCAGCAGTCTTTCTGCTTCGAGCTGTGCGCGAAGAGATTCAATCTCTTGCTGAGCAGGAGAAGATGACGAAGACATGTTGGATGCAAAAGGTTTCAGCTGCTCAATCAAAAACTTGGCAGGTGCTTGAGCCTGATGAACCTTAACTTCTTCCACAGTAGGGTGAGACTTTGAGGGCCCGGCGACACTCTGGGTCTTACAGAAATGGCTAGCAAGATCATCCAGGTCCCACTTCTTTTCTCGAGCGATGGAAAGAACAGCTTGCAGACTGCCAGAAGTACAGCTTCATTGACTTTTCTACAAACAACCAGGCTCATATAACTTCCATGGGAAAGGGCACGAAGGTTGACTCTCCCATCCTCGCCAAACAAGGTCAACGAGCTTGACCTGCTCCATGTTCTGACCAGCCAGGCCATATTTGGAACGCCAGGCTGTCGGGGCAATCTTGCGATGCAATGTTTTGCCGTAGACTTCCAAGTGACTCTTGCTCTGAACAAAAGATGAGGGTAGGCCATAAGTGGTTTTGAACTGTTCCAATCCTGGTACTTGGCACCCTGGTGCTTGGAGTCATCGTTGTTTTTTGAAGTCTTAGTTGGGGTCTAAGTGTTGTTCCACTGTTGATCCTGACGAGCTCGTGTAGCTTTCCAGTCCGACTTCCAAGATGAAGATGACCGCCACGAGCGAAAGGGTGGGACTGATGAATAGCGTGAAACGAAAACTGCAAAAACTGATGCGTCTACGTGTGGCAGGAAAAGTGATGCAAAGTCCCTGCAGCAGCCGTCGCAATCACTGATGCAGTTTCTCAGCAATTCATGCAGCGCACAATCACTCCTTCGAGCTTCAAGACAGATGAGAAACCGAGGAAGACCTGCTACGAGAGCGGCTCCTACTATTTCGTCGCAAAATGCTACGAAGAATTAGATCAGGAATCGTGGCAGTACAAGATGCCTTGGCGCAAAATGCTTTCACCGAACTAGAACCACTAGGTCTAGGTGCAAAAGCTTCAGCCTCAGGTGGTGGTGATGTCGGAGGTGGCAACGGAGGTGGCGGACTGATGTTGTTCACAACGTTCGAGCGCCACATGATACTGGATGTATGTTGCCACATCTGTTGAGGGCCGCAGGGACACTGTACCTAGAGCTGGTGGTCGTAGTTTTGGCATAGCTTTACGCGGAATCGGTGACGATGGTGATCTCGGTCTTCATCAGAGCGGGCTCTGTGTACATGGTCTTCTGCGATCTCAATGACTCTGTTCTGCAACATGTCAAGAAAATATTTGCGGACATGATGGTTAGTCAGCGCGTGGTACAGGATGTTGGTTTGTCTTTCATACAATGACTGTAGAACATCACTAAGTTCGTCAGGAAGATGAGCTCCACGTTCATGGCCACGACTGCTTCCGGCCATGTTGAAAGACTGCAGGCTACCGCTTGAGAGCTTCCTACCACAGCAGCACAAATAGAAAGTATGACGCAACATGCAGAACAAGGCAACTTCAAGTTTATTCTGTACATGCGCATAGCAGTCGAACTTCTGTTTTCAATGCAATCAAATTACTGCTGAGGGTCAATGCTGCTACTATCCAAAATGACTCCTAGGTGCGGGATTAGCAGAAAGCATTGCAGACCATTTCGGACCCCACTGTTCATCTGCAGGTTCTCGAACAGGAGAAATCAGATAGAACTGGGAGATCCGAGCACTGGATTCACGAATGGCCCAGCGCTTGTCTTTGCTTGGTGACTTGATCAGCTCATGGTCACGAAGGTTCTGCACTTCCAAGAAAGTTGATGCTGCTGGTGACTTCACACGCGGAGTGTTGATGACTCCGGATACAGTAACACCGCACTGATTCTTTGCATGAAAAGCAAGTTTTGAAGTGAGGCTGGCTGCTACTGTGTCCTCGTCCCTTCGGAAGCTGCACGGCCGAAGAGTCCGAATGGTGTTTCAGTGTGTTTCATGCCGACAGTCTCCTTGCAGGTACGGAAAACTCTGCCACTCTTGAAGATGCCCAACAGCGAAGCTTCACTACATCCATGCCACCAGCGATATGTACTGTGGCCGGTTGGTAGCGCTGTCAATGCTGGGCCAGGGAACTCGTTGGAGTCGATCTGCCACATGATAACACTGTTGTGAAGCCAAACTTTCCCTGGAATGGTGAAAATCTTCTCGTATGGAAACTTCACTGTAACGATGGCTTGGCGAAAACTGACAAGTACAGACGGCTGAATATCCCAGGAGAATACATCCGCAGGTGGAGGGCGCTGTGCAAGCTGCAAAAAGAACCGCACACATCGAGTGAACTCATCACGAGGAACCTTCGTCCACAGTTGGCTCTCGGCTGCAAGAAAAGCAAGACGACCAGAATAAAACTTGAAAGACCGAAAGTCAGGCACTGTCCAATAACCTGCGAACTCATTGTTCTGAGCATCCTGTTGGATGGCTAGGTTGAGGGTTTCTTCTGTAAGCCGAGCCTGGCGAATTGCCCATGCCGCTGCTACTCCCTGAGGATCACATGCTGAAATCGGACCAGCGTTCTGATTGCCAAAGACTGTGCAAGGTCGGAGGTCGTCATCACTCCAGTGAAGTTTCCGGGTGGAGGTGGCATAGGCTGTGAGGGTGTGGTTGTAGTGCCAGTGGTGGGTGGTGGGCAAGGTGGAGGTGGAGGTGGTGGGGGTGGTGGTGGTGGTGGTGGTGGTGCGGGTGCAGGCTTTGGCGGCAAAACTGGATGCGCAGGTCTCGTTGTCGCTGCATTCACTGGCATCATGTTCTGAGGCGGTGGTGGTGGAGCAGGTGGAGGTGGAACAGGTGAAACAGGATGGTGTCCAGGGGCAGGTGGAGTTGGGGTGTTTGCAATGGTGGAAGCATAAAAAAGTGAAGCTTGTGTTGGGATGTACTGTGGTCGTGGGTGAAAAGGTGAAGCTGCTGCAGGCGCAGCAACAGGTGTAGTCAAGTGTAGTCTGTCGGCTTGTAGCAGGCTGCGGTACAGGAGCAGCAGGGTAATGAGGATGCTCAGGATAAGAATTGGTAGCAGACGACAAACAAGTAGTGCTCGGGCTTTGGGAGGGCGAGTGCCGCGATACAACAGATCTTCTCCGAGTACGTCCGCGGCTTCGGCTGCGAGACAAGCTGGTGTTGCTTCTGCGCCCACGTGTACTTCTCAAAGACTCTGCTTGTGAACTAGTGGGTCGTAGAAGATGTGGGGCCTGACTAGGTCGAGCAGAACGTGAGAAACGAGGTGCAGAAGCTTGTAAGACACCTGGTTCTTGAAGGTATACTGGCGGCTGCAAAAGACCTGGTTCCTGAACAGATACTGCAGGCTGCAACCGACTTGGTTCTTGAAAAGATACTGCACGCTGCAAACGACCTGGTTCTTGAACAGGTACTGCAAGCTGACCTTGTTCTGGAGAACTGGTACGATACGAAAGTGAAGCTGGCGCTGACACCGCTGTCGATGGCCGTTGACCGTGTTCTCGGTCTTGTTGCAGGAAGATGAAAATGATAATTTGCCATGGTTTCAGGACAACAAACGGAAGGGGTGGTACAGGAATGCTAAATGATTAAATGATGAAGCTACCTCTGAGCTCCTTTGTCAAGGGTATTCCATGGAGCTATCCTGCCTGGGTGTTGAAAGCCAAGGAAGCTTCAGCAATCTGAGTCATCAGTGGGGTCTTCTTCATGGGCGTCTGCGGAATCTCAAGGCTCATACGTCAGGGCAATCTGTCAGGCCAATTGGATGTTCCAATGGCACATCGGCAATTGGGACCTCATTCTTGTGGGTCTTCAAGGACTAAACGCTCATACGTTAGGAAAGCCAGATGATTCCCCCGCAGACCGGGGGTCCGACAGCGCTTTGGCAGAATTACTGCCGGGAAACACATTTGCAGACCAGTCATCCTTACTTAGATGGATGCTGTTTGTGCTGGTTTGTTACATAACTTCTCTGCCAGTGCCTCAGGGGGCCCACTGGCTAATCCGAAAAGCAGGTACGTCAAGAGAGCGTCCCCTCCTGATATCACAATCCAATGGTGCGGTCTTCGTTGGGTAATGCACACCAATGGAGTCACTGCCCCCTGCTGAAACATCACTCCATTCTCATTACTTTTGTCTAGATCCTTTGGAACAGGAGGGCCACACACACACACACGGTTCGCGTGGAGGAAGCTTGCCATCGCACGCTGCAATCACATATCCAGCCGGACTGCAACAACCTCGTGCGTTTGCCCACGAAGCATCCGAATAAATGGTGAAGCTTTCCAGGTTTCTTCGTGGCCCGAATCCATGCTCCGCTACCACCTGAGATCTGACTTATCCCAGGCTTTCCACCATCTGCTTCACAAAGTCGGGTGACAAAGGAAATCGTTTGAGAGGAAGCGTCGTGGTATTCAAACATTTCAGGTCGAGCATGTGTTTTCTGTAATATTATGTCGGGATCGTTTGCAAGCCCGGAAATCTCATGCTCGAACATGGAAAAAGTTACCTGCGACTGGTGATGTCTGCAACTTCGTCATCCTCTCTTCAAGAGACTCTGACGAGCTCCCCAAAGCGTGTACTATCATCTGCTTCGTCGCCATGCACAACATCATCTCGCTGACGACGCACTTGTCTTTGACCGTACAGGTTGGTCGCTCCAACTGGTCGCACACGGGCCTACAATCAATCGCAGCTGTAATCACAGCTCCAACGGGAATCGTGCTTCAGGTCATAATCCACCTGAAACCACCCATTGTTACACAATGGAACGAGACATTATAGAAGGGTTCTAAAACCCGTTACATGTAATGAAAATCCTGCAGCATTTGACTTCTTGTAGGGCGCAGTGGGGGGGGGGGGGTTCTAGCTTGTTGGCGCCATAAGAAAGAGTTGGAGTGCTTGGAGCTTGGGATGTGCCCTAAGAGAGCTCCCCATGCATTGCACGACGCCAGAATTGTAGCAGTCAGTATGCCCCGCCATCGCGAAGGAGCCAGAAGCTCCGCCCCAGGTGGCACCTTGGTTGCAGGTGGTCGAAGGGCTTCGTTCGTACGTTGCAGACTCGGATTAGCCACGATGGGGGAAGGCTGTCTTCAAGAGGGCAGTTGCATTAGCTTGCAGCTTGAAATACCCGAAGCAGTCTTCAGCCATGAACGGGCACGAAACTCACAGGAGTGCTGCGATGAGAGGTCGCGAACCCCCCAACTCAGGCTGTGCCCACGGAAGCTAACGGCACAGGCCGGGGAGTGCCCAGAAGGGTTTTCAGAACACAGCGCTCTCCGTGAATGCACCCTTTGGCCGGCCCTCATCTTGGCTCTCCTTGCGAGGTGAGAAGGAGAAGCCAAAGCGCCGGAAGCGCAGGCAGAAGCCTGCTGAACAAGAGGCCCAGCCCTGTTCCTGGTCGTGGCGCAGTCTTATACGAAGCTGTGACATGACTCCGGGCCTGCAGACGGACACTCGACATTGGACAAAACCGGCCCCTCCACAGGCAGAGGCTCCGCCGAACGAAAAGCCTGCTGAGGTGCCGGCGCTGCCTGTAAGCCACAGAGCTGCTGGCTTTGTAGTCTTGTACACGTTCACGATTCGCAAGCAGTGCTAGTGCTGCTAGTGCTGCTGGCGACGTATGTGATCCTTTGGACATGCTGTTGAAACAGTTTCAAAGAACAAGAAAGCTAAGCTCATTGGAAATCATACAGCGTCTTCGAGCATCAGAGGCGGAGTTTCAACGAGTGTGCTCGTACTCACTATTGAATATGTCCCGCCTGAAGCCTTACAACATTGACTGCAACCTTCAAGATGCCATAATGGAACCTCTGACCGAGTCCAACCCGTCCCAACGCCTTGGATCAATCTGGAGCCCGTTTGCCGCTTGGAGGCATCCGTGCACCGTGCCGCCACTGCAGATCAAGTCGCCAAGCCATGATTTTGCGGACTCCTGCGTCAAATGTGCTCGAGCATCTTTGGGCACAAGGGTGCATGGGACAAGAGGCATTGTGCGCGGTTGTTGCTTCCTTCTTCAGTAGCCGCTGAGTAGCCCGCGAAATTTTCCCAGAACCATTCCAAGAGCTTTCCGGGTTTCCTGGCAGTCATGGAGTTCCAAGTCTCAGACGCGGGACGTAGCCGTAGATAGGTGGCAAAAGTGGTCTGGGGGCACGAGCGGACGGTCGCCTTCGCGACTCAAGCAACTGGTGCAGAACTTGGGAGCTCTGTACAGGAGAAGGCAGCCATGATGGCATGGTTGCCTTGTTCCTGGAATTTCCTGCGTATCCCCGCCACGCTGCCTTTCCAGTCGACAGTTGTCTTTCGCCTCCGCTGTCCTGAAGTCCATGTTAAGCCATTAGGTACAAGATCTCGACGCTGAATTGAAACCGAGACACCTGTATACTTGAGAGTTATCTCCCTCTAGCATGCCTGCACCCCAAATCCATGCTCGCGTCCTGTGCTGCACCAGGTTGCTAAAGTTCCGAAAATTCTGCTCAATGTGGTCCTCTTGATCAGGTTATGTGAGCCCTGGGTGAACTCTTGCTCCCCAAAAGGAAGCCCCACCATATGAAGATCATAATCTAGCCAGGGCCTCATTTACGCAGGGTTTGGGGTTCGGAGCGGCTAGACACGGCGGGGTGATGTGAAATCCGCCGAGGCCACAAGCCTCAGGCGTCTTGAGGGTTAACTCAAGTACCCTCCACCTAATCCTCCTCCCTGCAGTCCAAACGGTTGCAACCACCCGCTTTTTGCGTCCATTTTCCACCCGCCCGGCTTCCCTTGATTTTACCTGACTTGTCTGCCTTTGCCTCCTCGACCCCCTCACTTTTTGTTGTTTTTTGGCG